GTTTTTCTTCCAGCAGCTCTATTTATAGTCTAGTCTTACAAGTGGCCATTCTGAGCCGATCCGCAAAGTAGCCAAGAACACTCCTCAACCGCAGCATCTACTGTGTCCAGACAACAATAGCATACATTCCAAATAGCGGCACTCAGAAACTCCAGCACTGTGTAAGCTGCCCCTGCTTCTTGCAACAATCGCACAACTTCTAAGTGGCCTTTCTCGGCTGCGATGCGCAAAGCCGTTGCCCCGTCTGCATTCTCCGCATCTTTGTCCGCACCAGCCTCGAGCAACAATCGCACAACTTCAGAGTGCCCGTGCAGGGCTGCGAAGTGCAAAGCTGTCGTCCCATCATTTGTCTTTGCTGCATCTGTGTCAGCTCCAGCCTCGAGCAACAATCGCACAACTTCAAAGTCGCCGTGCAGGGCTCCCAAGTGCAAAGCTGTCATCCCATGTGTGAATTCTGCATCTGTGTCAGCTCCAGCCTCCAGCAACAATCGCACAACTTCCAAGTGGCTTCTTTGGGCTGCAAGGTGCAATGCCGTTGCCCCATAGGCATTTTTTGCATCTTTGTCAGCCCCTGCCTCTAGCAATAAGCGTACAAATTCAGCCCTGCCGCGATCGGCGGCAATATGCAAAGCCGTGTCTTGGGTTGTTCTGTCTTTCAAGTTCGGGTTTAGGGGCAGTTTCAGCAAACTCTGAAATGTGCTCAGCATGTTGTGCTCACATGAGCTAAGCAGCTGCTGAGCAAGAATCTCGTCAGGTGCGCGGAAGTTGAGGACAACCAACTGAATGGTTGACATGAACTGTAATGGCATGTCATCTTCTAATTCGATGGCATCATGTAAGAGTCTCTGCTGAAATCTCGTATATCCAATGTGAGCTGAAAGGTGCAGCTTCAGATTGCCAACACCTTGCCCCGCTTCCACCATGCAACGCAATTCATCCTCATCAAGTCGGGCAACTGTTGCACCCGACAGTGCAGCTATGATCTCCATAACTACTTGAAGCTGAAAAAGTCGGCTCCAGTTAGTCTAACACCTCTGGTCGACACGGTGACTTTGTCACAGGCATGTGACTATACGATGTCATACTTCTGTTGGTGAAATGGTGAAAAAGAACTAAGAAAAAAGGAAACCATGTCCTTAGGAATCTGAGCTGAGTGTCCATATTATCTTCATGTGCATGCCCTAAGGACCCACATCCCCTCTGAGGTACGGTGATGTCTTCGACAGACATGTAGGTCCCATTCTCCGCTCCGGTCGTACCGCACCTGAGCTTCGCTGCGACCACTCTCCC